AGATCAAGTGGGGTGGGTGGAGGGGTGGGTGGGGGAGACAGGGGGAACCGGCAGGATGGGGGGGAAGTTACCTGCTGCTTCCTCCTTTGCCTCCTGAGTGTCGATGTCCCTCCCCCCGCGAGTATCGTGGGTCCCGCCCCTTTTTAATTATAAATGCATACTGAGCAGAAAATAATCCAAGACCAAGAATGTATGGCTATAATGCACAGGAGTACCTACACCAACAAAGACTGATGATTTGGAACACAAAACGCTGTAGTATCTACAACAAATTAGGTTATCTTGGATTGTATATATAAACCCATGACAAATGCCACTTTAGCGCTCCTTTCATTACCTAATCCCATGATTTCATCTCTGAGGTGGTCAGGTTTAGGAGCACATCCGCTGACACCTAATTGTAACAGATGCAACAGTAGAATCAGTCAGACTCAATCTCTATCTGCTAATGTATCATTCCCTGACTCTCTGCAGCACAGAAAGCACCTCCATCATATAAGAACTGCTGTGACAGCTCTCTGCAACAGAGGCCAGGCAAACGTGTGTCAACTTCCACTAAAACCTATGCTAGGCACTGTAATTCAAGTCAAATTCACTAACACTAGAAGCATATTCCTAAACCAACAAATGCTATCACAAGAGTAATCCTATTATACTACTCAACACAACTGTCTTATGGAAGGAAAATACCCATAAAACAGCATGACAGTAGTATTGCCCTGATGCATCCTTGCATAAACTCATACAAGCTCTCTCCTTTCTAAAAATTATACTGAATAATATGCTGCAATATAAAGGATTTATTGACTAAACACCTAAGTGTTCATTCTTCCATTCATGTACTATACAGAAATATAGCGGGCTTCGAAGAATGATAGATCTTGTAAGGATGATAGAGTTCCTACATCCCTCATGCATAGAGTTCATTAGCCAATGGAAAGTTTTACTTGCACCTAACCCATTGGCTGGGGAAAGATGCATATTGCTATCTTGTTTTTTAATGCCACTGATTGATTAATTAACTAATTCTAATAAATACGGTTGAATACAAATGATATTTTGAAGACATTCTTCAGACAGATGGCTTCTACAAAACTCCAGTTTGAGAGCCACATTTTTTTATTCTGCAATCAACTAACTACACCAATTTCATCACAGTTCTATACTCCACCCATCCTCACCATCTTGGGACTAGGGAAACTTGGGTTCAAATCCCCACATAGCCATGAAGCTCACCTATTACCAATGCCAAGAGAAATCTTTGCTCCTACATTGGATGTGCACAAGCAAAGCATAATGGACAAAATTAGCAATGTTTTGTTGATAAAATCTCCTCCTCTATCTTTCTGTCCACACACACACAGAGTATGTTTTTAATATGTGCATGTGTGTGCGACCCTGCTTAGTAGGGCTGCCAAATGTGGGCGGGGGGCGGGGAATCCCCCACTTTGAAGGGCCGATTTCCGATGCGGCGGAATCGGGCCCCGGGGGAACCCCACCCCTGGTGTGTGCGTCACTAACAAGTGACGTGGGCACGCCGGGCACGCTGGGGGTGGGGCCACAGCCATACAAGGGAAAACTCTATGGTTTTCCCTTGTATGGCTGTGGCCCCGCCCCAAGTGTGCCCAGCGTGCCTACGTCATTTCCGGGTGACACGCGCGCGCACCCCCCCGACGCCGGCCGGGAGCCCCCCACTCCCAGCGAAGACGGATTTGGCAACCCTACTGCTTAGCTTCCCAGATCTGATGAGAACAGGCTTGCCTGGACTATTCAGGTCAGGATGAATCTTCTCCTATATTGAGTTCTGTTAGCACAAACACAGGGGCATGAGTTATGAAACAGATACCTCAGAACAGTTCAATGTAGTCAAGGTTAATTCTTTAATACTTTATCTAACGTTTATCAGAAGATCAGATTGGAAAACGCATCTAATTAATGAAACCTGATGTGATATGATCACATCCGTAAAACACAGCTGTGCACCTGACTCTTCTACTCATGGCAGGGAGCATTCCATGCCATCACAGCTCTCACTGGAGAATACAGATTTATGATGCTGCATTCTGCAGTGTCCCTGATTGATCAATATACAGTGGTTACACTGGATCAAGCAATGATTTCCCAGGGGCAGACCAGGAGGTCTCTCTTGCTGATGCATCCAGCCCTGCCAGTTTCTTTGGACTAATCCAGAAGCCACCTATTGAATTCACTGGTCCAAGGTACAGGCTGCAATCACATCCTTGCAGAGCCCCATTCAACAGAGGCTTCCATTTTCCCTCCATCTTGGAATACTTTAGAAGCAGCTGGCCTCTGAGAAAGAGCCTGTCTTGAGCTAAGCCTTGTGTGGTTTCCAAGCATGACTCCTCGGCTACTGGCTGTTTTGGCAAGAGATGCAGAGGGCCATACTATAATCAGCTGTGCAGTGAAGTCCCTGGCATGGCCATGGTGCAACAGGGAGTGGGCTCTACTGGTGGACAACTCCTAGAGGCCGGACACCAACAGGCTTGAAAACCCAGCTCCAGGATCTCACTTGCATGCGTTCTCCTTTTCATAAGCAATGCAACAGTGTTTATAATCCCATATGGATCTAAGGTTGAGGTTACTATCAGAATACCACACATCAAACAGCATCTCATCATTACAGGGCAGCAATCCACTTCACTCTGCCTCTATCATCTCCTTCCAATTCCTTTATTTTATAAAAGGCAGTAAATCACAACTCCTAGGAGCTAGGCAATCACCATTAAAACAATTACAAGTTCTTAATACATCACAGATCTTTTCCCTGTTTTCACAATGAGATTGGCAGTATTGCTGGGACGTTGCCAGCCCAATACACTGAAATGCCAGCTATTATTTTTATACACTTTAGTAACAGCTTCTGTGATTTTTAAAAAAAATTCACTGTAGCTGCTCCCTTTTACCATCTTTAACCCTCTTGTCACTATTGGCTGCATGTGCATTTGTTCCCAGTAATGTGTTCTCCAATTTGACATTCAGCAACTCATTCCTGATGCTAGAGTTAAGTCTGGGTCAACAGTTCCATTACAAAACCCCATTTTGAGGGGGTTTCAAACTACAGAGGAAATTATTCACTTTGACATGAAAAGTCCTTGCCAAGGAAAAAGACCCCCCCTTGCCTTGTTTCACAAAGTTTTTAAAGGCATTCTAACAACTCCTATGAATTACACTATCTGCATGCAGTTTGTCAGATAGAGTCAACAGACTTAAATGTACTCTTCACTGGTGAATATTTTTAGTCACTGAGCAATATTTCCTTTTCATTTATATTTTATTGTTTATATGCCATAAATACACAACAATCTTAAATTCCAGTCCTGAAAGAGAATTTGTCATTCACCTTAATGGAGGCCAAATTCAACCTGGTATTTCAAAAACTGACATATCAGTACATAGAATAAATATATTTCTACCCGTCTTAGTAAATAGTTCCAAGAACAAATCCACTATCTGAAATTTCTAATTCTGTTCTGCCCTCATCTATTGGTTGATGTTTTCTGCAATTTTGTTTTTCAAAAGCTGGTGGGTAATTACTGTTTTTACATCTGATCTTCAGATATCAATCAATTCTATTTATGCAAGTACAAGCAATCTGCAGTTAGTCCAAACTCTGAGAAGAAAACTTCTGAAGTTTCACACTTGATGAATTTTTTTATAATACAGCTGAGCAAGTGTTACTACATGTTTTAATTTTTACAAAGAAAATGGCAATGAGAAATAAAGGGCAGAGAAATCACTGAAGTAAAACATATGGTATGAGCTTACCATTTATGAGACAGATAAGAATCACCCACTCACAACAAATCAAAACATATTCTTTTTTGCACTGAGCCTGTTTTAAGTCTTACCAGAATTCAGTAACTGAAGTATTGAAGTGATTTATAGCACAGATAAAAAGATATAAAGTGATTTATAGCACTGATACAACCCAGCAGGCTGAGGAGGGGATAGATAGATAAATAAATGGAAAACAACATAATCTACTCAGTTTTGAAACCAAAGGCCTGGGGATTAACAGACTCAATGAGCCATAGTTACCTGGTATGGCTGTTGGACGACAGGCTCTCCCAGGGCTGCACACTGCAGCCAGTGACTGCATAGGCTCCTCCACAGCTCCCATCCAATTTCATCAGCAGGGCTTTGGCTGCATTCTCAGCTGTCTTCCTGCAGTCATGAGCTCTTTTAAGCATCTGGGTGATGTTTTCATCACCTGTTTGTTCCCCTGTTTGCAAGCAAATTATCAGAGCCACATCATACTGGAGAGGATAACAACAATTAATGTGACTGAAAAGAGCTTTCAGCTGACATCTGTGCACCCGCTAGGACATTAGCACCTCATTAATGATGTGCTAAAATAAAACTAGGTTATAAGAGACTAATAGGCAATTATCTAAAGGACTGTGTGGTGAGCTCCCAATGAACAGCTTGGCTTCTGAACTCACTCCTTCAGAAAATCACCTCTACACACTGCCTGACAACCTCCTCCAATAGCTTGAGGGGGGCAATTTTGGAGTAGTCTCCATTGTAGCACAAGGAGACAAGATTAGAAGGGGAAAAAGCAAGATGACATGATGAACATACAGAATTGCATGCAAGTGCCTAAGGGCTACCATATCATAGATCGGAATTCCAAAAGTATACTCTATTTTGTTAAACCACTCAGAGCAGCATAATGCCAGTTGTCTTTTAAGCCCCCCAATCTATTAATCTATCCACCCATCAAAACTGTTTTAGTTGCTGTATAAATGTTAATGACATGCTATCTTATGAAGATTGCATACCATGAAAACAAGTACACATTATGCTTTTCCTTATGAAACACACATACTATTAAATAGAAGATAAACACATAATGACGTCTGCAAACGCATCCCATTACAAGTCTAGTATAAGACTAAGAGCCGTATTCTTAGACATATTTACTAGGACTTTCCTTTAGGTTTATGTAGTTAGCTGAAGACGTCTGTATTTTAAATGAGTCTTTGATAAGGCTCTTGTTACTTTTTCCTTTTCTCATTTAAATCAACATTTTCTTGTTAAAAAAAAACTCTCCTGCTAACTGTTAAGTCCACTGCTTTGGGAATACTATTAAAAACAAATCTCTTACAAAGAAAAGTACATTTACACAAAAAGTGTACCCAATTCACAAGAAGAGACAGAAAATAAAATCCCAGAGCATCTCTGGATCATTGATTCTCTAGCTTTCTGCAACGTCCATCTTGTGACACTGGAACCAGCTGGTCATTTGTTCCTTAAAAGCTTTCACATACATTTCAGTGGCTCTTGAGAAGCTACTGCTATAAATTAGATTTTAAAACAAGCAGTTTCCATGTCACTTCAGCCTGGAAAACTAATATTTTCTATCCCTGAAGGCTCCCTCTGTCTCCAGCAATCCAGCACTATAAATAACATATTGTCATGTCAATGAGCTGAACAGGACCAATACAAAATAAACAGATGTACTTTCATTGTGGATATATACAATTTCTGTTGACAAAATTATTTTCTTAGTGTGCTTATGTAACTCTCCCACATGGCTCATTCTATCAAACACTGTTCCCCAAAACATTAGACCAAGCAATGAAAATCCGAACAAAAATTCATAGTAAAATGTGATGGCAAGCCCTCCGACCAATATTCAAAAGTATAAACTGAGATGACACCCCAGCTCCAGACATAGGAATCAGAGACTTATATTTCACACCGTAAAAACTTCTTTTGTTCTCCCCCCCCTTTAAATACTTTTATTTTTATAATTGAGGTTTTTGGGACTGCTTAGTCTCCTAGTCCTAAGTGAGGGCAATGTCTGGACTCAGGGTGCCACCTGGCATTCACTTGGCTTATTATGAGGGGATAATAGGCTTGAAGGAACAACACAGTAGGCTTGATAAAAATAACTGAGGAACAGGTTTATTTCAATGGTGTGCATGGCTTGGTTGTTTCTTTATTTTCCTTTTCTCCAGCCCTCTCAGCATTATAGTAACAAAGTTACTGGAGAGGTGGGACCTAAGAAAGTGTAACAGTTACAAAGCATATTTCTTGTTTGACTGACTGAGACTTTTTAACAGGGAACAGAAAACTTTCAACTTTTAACCGTGTTTGACAGGAAGGACAAGCCCTGCCTAACTAGCAGACCTCCTAACCTTTCTCCCAACAAAATCCAACAGGGAATAGAAAACTTTCAACTTTTAACAGTGTTTGACAGGAAGGACACACAAGCCCAAACACACTGGACTCCCTGCCTAACTAGCGGACCTCCTAACCTTTCTCCCAACAAAATCCAATGCCTCCAACTCTGTTGGTTGGCCAGCACTTAAACCGCCAGAGTCCTGGCTTTTTATTTTTCAACCTTCCAGTGCAACATTTGAAGATGATTGGCTGAGGCTCCTGGAGGGCAGAACTTGAAACCACTGGTCACAAAGACCTTTGAAATTTCCCAGTCACTCACACATCTCAGCAATTTTCCAATGTGATAAGCAATTTTTTAATTGCTGAGAGACAGGACTGTGCCAAGTCAATTAGACTTTAAATAAACATACAAATGCAGAAATGTCTAAAAATGACAGATGTTTAAAAGATATGGCAAGGTCCACTTGAACATTTAGCTTTAAGGCCAATTTTCCCCCTCACACCCAAAAAACAGTCCCTCAAATGAAAATCATGCAGTTGACTTCAATGAGATGTTGAATTATGAATGATTTTTTTTCCTCTGGGAAAATATGTGATACAAGTTACAGAGAACTTACTCAAGAACTGAATGTAAAAATTATAGGGCCCGATTCACTCAGTCTTTTATATGCTTAAGTGTTTGCCACCAATAATTTACATCACTATTCTTTGTATATGTTATTGCTTGATGTAGATTTGTTGCAAGAAGTAAATTTCCTATAGGAATCTCTAAAACACAGTGGGAAGTTGTCTGAGCTATCCTGAAATGACAGACTGTGGCATCTTATGCTCTGAGGGTGACAGAGTTAGTATGGTATGGTGGATTAGATTCAGGGAGAACTTGGCCAGATCCCTACTTTGCCATAGAAGCTTGCTGGGTGACCTTGGACCAGTTATTCTCTCTCAGCCAACCCCACTTGGGACTGTTGTGAGCACAAAATGGACCACATGAGGGCAGGATAAAAGTAAGAACATAAGAACAGCCCTGCTAGATCAGTCCAATGGTCCATCTAGTTCAGCATCCTGTTTCACACAGCCAAAGCAGTTGCCCTGGAGGGCCAATAAAAATGCATACACAGATAGACAGGTGGAGTATAGTACAGGTTTGAGAAAGAAAGGGATTCATTGAGCTCTTACCAACAGACCCAACACCTGCAGCTCTGAATTGCCCAAGAATGAGAGACTGTTCACTTTCTGCCAATGCTAGCAGCAGTTCATGAGCTTCAATGCACTGTTCACTGTAAAAGAAACATCCAGTTAGAACATGTGAAATAGAGAAGAAGAAAATCAGCATAGGCCAAGCGTAATGGTAACCAGTAACTGAGGCTGTCATTCCCTCCCTGTTAGTAGGAAAATGTCACTTAAGAATGGTAATCTGAGCCAGGCTCTGCCTTCTTTAATTAACAATTGAATTGTAGGGTGGGGACTGAATTTATTCTGTTGAAGGTAGAAAGAACAGCATTACTTTAGCATTAGTTCAACATGTTCTGTTCTGCTAAAAAGCCAACTGTACACACATGATCCTGCAGGTTTGCCTCTCTGGCTACCACTGTGTCTGTCCTTGCCTACAGTTTGCCATTTTCTTAAAGTATTCAAAATATGCTCAGACCAGGTGAACTGTCTGGATGCAGATGAATTTGTACAATTGTAATCTCACACTGCATTATGGGAATTCTAGCCCCTCACCCAACTTGGTTGTTAAACTGAGGTGTTTCCAGGCTGTGCAGCTTCAATCTATCGTGCCTGCATGATACAAAGTTTTCAAACAGAAAAGGCAGGCAAACTTCACATTAGGAATATTTTGTACATGCATGTGTTTGCACTGTCTCATGGGAATTGTTATTTTTCAGGGGAAGATCCAGCAATCCCTAAGCAACTATATGATTCTCATACTGTGTCATGATAAAGAGCTGCTCAGATTGGCTGCCTTCACGTTCTCATGACCTTGTGGTAAATAGAAAGCAACTAAGCAGGAAAGCCTGTAGAAGTAGCTGCTCTGCGCAAAGCTGCTCAGTTGGGCATGTGATCTAAAATTTTGAACAAAAATATCAGATGATCCAGTGAGGCACTCGGTTTGCATGTAGATTAACAGTTTGATTACACTATGTCTGAATGTCAATCACGTTTATTTTAAACTTTTCAATATACCTAGTTAAAAGAGGTTGCCATAGCCAACATAAGAGGACCAGAAGATATTAATTAGAGGAATTAAATAGCTGAGTTTAGTTCAGTCTCAGGGTCTAACTGTTCACTATAGGTAGGGGTGAGCAAGATCTTTCCCTTAGGCTTTCTTTTCTTTTCTTTTTTTGCATGTATGCAATATTAGTAATCTTTTGTTTCCCTTATAAACCATGTGGTTTGGTTCAGCTCCTTGAACAATGTGGATTGTCCTGATGAACTATTTGTAAAGCCAGCACTTTACAGTAATTAAAGAACTCTTCCAGTAACGATAATATCAGTTTAAACTGGTCTTCCTCCCTCCTCTCTCCAATGCAATTGCCACAATCCACAGCCAATGGCTGTGAAATAAAAAGCTGCCTTCCTACTGTCTCTCTTCATAAAACTATTTGCTGACTACAGATATGACGGCCCCGTCCACTTCCCTCCCTCAGAGGCAAGATTTTCCCTCCATTTTTCTTTCCCTTTTGTTACTGAGCCACCCTGGTTGTTTGTTTTCATCTTTCCTGAAGAATTCTGGCTGTCCCACTGTGTCACAGTATAATATTTTGGCTGTTTCCTCAGCCCAGGAACCTGAGGGAAAGAATGGCAGCCCCCTTTAACTTTAATGGCACTCAAGAAATTTTTATATTCTGAATTAACAAAATATTTTATTCAACACAGAAGGGAAAGGTCAGGTGAAATCAGGGGTAAAATTTCAGTGGTAACTCAATATAGATAACTCTAAGGTAAAATCAGTACATGCACAGACTTTAGCTCTTATGTTTCAGGCTAATGAAAGTTTCTTAAGCTTTTCACAGTGACTTAAAGCTTTTATGTTGAGAGGCTTTTGTTCCAGTGTTTCCCCCAAACACTGCAGTACACTTTCTTTTGAGTATTCTGTGACTCTTCTGGTTTCCAGAAGGCTGGTTTACTCTTTCCAGTACCCAAACACCAGTACTCTTGAAACGCCAGTACTCGTCTTGAGTTTTTAACTAATTTATGGTCTCTAAACGCACTTTCTAACCACACCAGACCATGGATCTCTACACTCCTCAAACCTAACTCCCTGTTTGACTGGGTAGGGAATATCTTCTCTCTCTAGAATATCTATCCCCTTTCCTTGGCCTGAATGTGAGTCTCCATCTAACTACCCACTCATACTTGCCAACTTTTCCCCAATTCTCCTGTCTGTATCAAAACTGCTCAGTCAGGACTGAATTCCCAAACTGTCACTTCTCGACTCTTCTCAGCTTGGGCTGAAATCAGACTGAATCCTCCTCAACATCCAGTTCAGAAGTCTTTTTCTGCTCAGCTGATGCTAACCAACCAGATTGAGCAGCCTGTTTCTCAAAGGTCTCTGTTTCTGTGAAGAATTAACCCTTCACAATGCTTCACCTGTTTGTACAGCACTTCTAAGCTTTTAAAAGTGCAGTCCGTCACAACAATTAGTGGCAAAGTGAAAAAGACATGCTGTGAAATTCAAAACCTTGCAATCCTTCATAACAGAAATTGGTACAAGAAAGCATACCTCCCTGCTTATTTTGTCTTTCATATTTGCCCATTCTCACATCAACATACCTGTACTGCAACGCAAGCCTGAGGGCTGTGGCATTGGATTCGTATTTTCCAACCAACATGCTCATCCTCTCAGCATTGTTCTTACACTCTTCCAGAGTTATTGTCAATAAATCATTCTGAGATTTTAAGTGCTCAATGCGGCTGTGAAGACAAAAAGCATCTTTTAACTTTTTTGCTGAAGTTGCTGCAGTCTTACCTGCCTGGAACATTTCTCAAGTGGTTCCTGATTAGAATGTCAAAGATAATCTGGCTTGAAGTATTTTGTTATCCATCATTCACCCAGAAGAGACAGATAATGCCAACTCTTTGTGCAAGGTCATATGGGAAATCCCCATCACTAAACAAGTTGAATGAATGCAATTAATAAATGGATATGAAGTTGCATATAAGGCCAATGTCTATGAAAATGTCCCTCTCCCTTTCTATCACATCTCAGGTCTCAGATTCTCTTGTTTTAAATTGGTTCAGTACTTCCTTATTCCTGGTAGTGCTTCATGTGAAAATACAAGTATGCAGCTAACCCATCCTTTGGGGAATAAGGTAGAGTTGTTCAGAATGCAGATGAAAATTTCAAGAGTAGTTTCAGGGCTGTGCATGAGTGCATGGAGGGTTTTCGCCTTCCAGGCCACAGTACCCTCATGCTACACCAGATATTGCTCTAGAAATTGTTTTAAGTTTAAACATAGAAGTAGTTTCAAAAGCAACTTTTCAAGGGGCAGGAAGAAGGCTGTTGTCAAAATGGCTTTTCAGTGAGGCATGGGAGACTGCTGAGAAGAAGAAGGTGGAATAAACTGCTTCTATGAACTTCTCAGAATCCCACAGATGTATAAGATGTCGGAGGACAGTGATCTAGAATCTCTGCAAACATATTACTACAAACTACTTGGGTCCAGTTACCTAGTAGTCCAGACTGGAGTCCCATCCATAGAATCATAGAGTTGGAAGGGACTGCCAGGGTCATCTAGTCCAACCCCCTCCACAATGCAGAAAATTCACAAATACCTCCCCCTCCACACCCTCAGTGACCACTGTTCCATGCCCAGAAAATGACAAAAAAAACCCCCAACCCTCCAGGATTGCTTCCTGACCCCAAAGTGGCAATCAGCATTTCCCTGGGTGTGTAAAAAAGGGGCACAAGAACTAAGCACTGAGGCAACCCTTCCTGCCCTCCCTCTCATGATCTGCCTAAGTTCATCCCTTTCCTATGTTCTGAAGTCACATCTATCTGGCATCCAAACTCCCACCAGAGAATTACTGTAATAGTGAATAGTCCTTACAGAACTATACCAAAATGCAAAATGTTGCTGAGAAGATTTTAAAAACTAGTTATACCTATTGGTTCTGATAAAAAAAGAAAGGAAGATAATTGAGGAAATGATAGACCAGGGATTATTTCTACATATTTAGGTACAATATATTGTTTTGACTATCAGCATAGAAGTACTACAAAGACACCAGCAGTATCTATTTATCCCTGCTAAAATTACCACACTGATCTATACAAATCAACTTTGAAAACTGGATTTCAGGTTTCTCAAGAGACAAACAGCAGCTGTTGCCAGGTCCTGTAGAATAATATGCAAATCTTAACAAATCACTATATGGCTTAATGCTGATGACTAAATTATCTTGTTGATAGAAAGCCATTAATTCAGGTTAAGCTTGCCTTTTCATCATCATCATTCCTGCATTTATATGCAGCTGGCATAAACATAATTCACACAAATCAAAATGACGGGGATAACAAATCAAGTTAATCAACCGAAAGCAAGAGCTGATTGTCATGATATGTTTTTCAGATGTGGAATGATTCCCTGCAAGTCAATGCCATGTCTGCATACATTTGCAAAATGTTGGCTATGAATAAGTAATACACCCAAACTGTTATTCAAAAGATTTGTGTGCTGAAAGCCAGGTTTCAAACAGGTCCTATATTTGCATGTATTAGCAAGAAAGTCCTGCAATAACTCAGTTAAATCCTACCATTCCTGAAAACAAATAAAACAATAATCCCATCTAAGAGAATACATTTGCATGTAACATTTCTAACCTTACCTGTTTAATCGTTCAGTTTCTACTTCAAATTCTCGGATTTTACTTTCAGAGATAGCAGAACCATGCGAGTAGAGCGTCTGGAAAATTTCTTGGATGTTGGAGCAGTCCTGAAGAGAGTGGGCTAGATGTTCAGCCACACTGCTTGAGACCTGTAATGAGGTGGATAGAAGCCCATATCCCATATCATTCTGTTCCTCTATATACCATGTAGGGTTGTGGGTGTGTAGCTGCAGGAAATCATACAGAGACCTAAGCAGTAAGGGAAACCACTGCAAGCAGAGTAGGACCTTCAGGCCCTGCTGTGCAACCTTTCAGATGCTACAGGCCACTAATTACATATCTCCTGGTTTAGGGAGATTTTTTGTGACCAAATGAGCTTGTCTCCACTCTTTAAGAAAAACTCCAGTGAACTGCTTACTGTGCCTTCAAAATTTCTCTCTACCATCATGCAGCCCATGGCTGCCTAGACTGGTGGTAATAACAGTTATTCTCTACAAAGTGTATGAAACTCTGGAACTGTGTTGCCTAACTACAGCATACAGAGGTAGAGAATTTCTGCTTTAAACATATACCTTTAATGATTTTGCTTCAGCCCCACACTATCATGGCCAATACTGATTCCCTTCCTACCAGTGATTCAGATGTGACCATAGGAATGCAAGCATTCTTTGTTGCTACTATTCACCAGCCTGAAAAAACGTATCCAGCAACAAGGATGATACAGGACAAATTGTACCAATAGGAAAGACAATAATCAGGTGGACTTCTGCTTCTTATATATATGCAAAATGATCAGGTTCCAAATACCACTTCAGGCTTATAAGATACAATCCTTTTTCTCCCACAGTGCTTCAAAGAAATTGCAGTTTTTGATGAGCAATGTTTTTCAGTCCAACTGGGCATGGAAAAAGTGCAGCACTTTCAAAACAACAAAACCCCTGAGGACTAGGGGTGTGCAATTTTTTGTTCTTGGTCTCTTTGGTTCATGTCTATTGGACCTGAAAAAAATTCAGGATTCCTGGAAAAAAAACAGATCCCAATACCAGTAAAATATTTATATCTAGAATTTTTCAGAAATCCTGAATTTTTTGGGGGGTCAAACAGACATGAACTGAAAAATACAGAGGGGGGAAAAGCAGGGGCAAAGCCACAAAAAAAACAACTGAGAGGCAGCTCAGCTGGCACTCTTTTGGGTGGTCCATTTAAACCAGACTGCCCAAAAGAACTCACAAAGGAGCCGATCCTGTGGGGTGAATGATCCCCACGGGGTCAGCTGGGGCTCTGCTGGGCAGCCTGGCTTAAAGTGGACTGTGCAACAGAGCCCACTAAGCAGTCGATCCTACAGGGAGAACTCTCCCGTCAGGTTGGGCTGGGGCTCTGCTGGGCAGCCCAGTTTAAACCAACTTCCCAACAGAGCCCACAAAGGAATCAGTCCTGCAGGCAGAACCCTCACTGTAGGCTTGGCTGGGACTCTGCTGGGAAGCCTGGTTTAAATCAGACTGCCCAACAGAACCTGCAAAGCAGCTGATCCTACAGGGAGAAATATTGGGGTAAAGTTGACAGGAAATGGAAAGTCTCTGGTTCGGGTTGGCTCATCTTAGAGAGATGAGGGGGTACCTGTTGCTTTTCTACAGGGAGGTGGATCGAAACTGTCCACTGAGACCATGGCTAGTGACATGGACTGCCTGACAAGGTCTCGAGATAGCAAGAGGAAGGTTGCAGGCTTAACTTGTATGGGAAATTATAGCTGTTTCTATACAAATGCTAGAAGTGTCTGAGGTAAAATTGGGGAGCTGGAGTGTTGGAGGGAAAAATAGACATTGTGGGTATTTCAGAAACTTGGTGGGATGAGGAAAATCAGTGGGATACAGTGATTCCCGGTTATATATTATATCAGAAGGAGGGGGGGGGAAGGGTTGGA